TTTCTTTTTCTAGTTGGAGTTGCCCGAATAAATTATTGAGCTCTGGGATAAATTCTTTTTGATTACCGCAGGGCGCGTAAGCTGCGATTAGGAATATATATGTATTAGTTTTAAGTTTTATTTTTATAATGGTATTTTCTAAAAAATTTTCTAAAAAAGGGTTTTGTTTGAGGTGAGCATATGTGTACTCTCATTTGATCTATTTTTTTTTTTTATTATTATTGCTGTTCCTCCTCCTTGTTTATCTATTTTATCATTCCTTATTATATTGTAATTTTTAAAGTTTACTACGTGATTTTGTTTTAATTTTGTTTCAGAGAGTAGAGCTATGTCTGGATTTTGCATCTTTAGTATGTTTGTTATCGAAGATCTCTTTGGTTTGTTGATGAGTTTACATTAATTACTAGTAATTTAAGTTTGGATAGTTTTTTTTATTTTGTTTAAATCTAGTCATTATTTTGGTACATGGAGTCGATTATATTTAATACATAATCTGTTTTTTTTTTTTCAGCTTTCTCAACTAATTGTGTAAGATTGTTTATTTGTTCCTGTTGCTTTTGTAGAAGTGTCATTACTTGAGTTTTAAACATGTTTATGATATCATTGATACTAGACGCTAATGGTGCATTTAGAGATGTATTTTCTGCAGGTGAGGATGTTGTGTTATTATTCTTTACTACATCTGCAAAATTGATATTTTTTTTACATAATTGTTTAGATTTATTATCTTTCTTTCTTTTTTCTCTTGTATCTCTATTTTTTTTCTTGTGCCTTTTTTTCAGGTTAAGGAGTATTGGGCAACCACGATAGGATGCTGGATGGCCGTAACTTTGATAGTTTGCGCAATATAATTGAGTCTTATCCTGTATACTATTTGGAGATAACTTACATTCTGGGACATGCGAATCCTTCTAATTTACGCACCTATATTTGAGGTTGCAGTTGGATGCTACGTGCCCTAATCGTTGGCACCTTTTGCATTGTATAATGTTTTTGTTTTTTAATTTATCCCACGATATAACGTGATGACATAGTCTATTTATTTTGAGAAGATTGTGTATTTTACTTCCTGCCTCCAACTGAACCAAAAAGATAGGTAATTGGATATTCTCGCTTACGGATCTTTTTGTCTTAAAGAGTGTGACTTTATGAAAGCCTATGCCTTCGATCTTTAACGATTTTAATTCGTTCAGAATTTGTTGGGGGTCGTACGAGTGATGTAATCCCTTTAATAGAACTGAGATAACTTTGTCTTTTTTTGGTGTGAAAGTATAAAAACATGTATCTACCGATTCTAATAATTTTTTAGCTTTATGAAATCTGTTAGCGAGAACATCTGTAATATATGTTTATTATTATTTATACGTTTAATTGTAAAATTTGCCTGTTTTATTTGGTTAGATATAAGCCTTTCCTTTGTCCTATGTCCTTTGGGTTTTGATAGATAATGTTGAGCAGAGGTGGCTTTTCTTCTTTTTTTTTATCCTTTCCTTTTTCCGATTCTTGTTGTCTTCTCCGTATATTTTTATATTAGAGGGCCCTGGATGGACGTTTGTTCCTTCTTGTGATGTGTTGTTGTGGTAAGATTTATCCTTGATATTGGGGGCTTCAGTAATCGGATGAGTACGTCTATTCCGATTTTTTAAATCTTCTATGAAGCTATTGTTGTCGTTAGCATCAGTATCTGTTTCCATTAAGTCCGTAATTTCATTAAGAGGTGTGTATTTATTCATCGTTTGTTTCAGGCGTACATTATAGGCTGGCGTATTTTCGATTTAGAGATCGATTTGTGCTTGTACGTCCTCTTTTAAGGGTATATTATTAATCATTATAGTGCTTTTTATGGGCTGTATGTTTTCTTTGTTCGAGTCATTTGCATGTTGGCTTTCTTTCTTCATTTTAACTAAAGTAATATTTGGACGCAGATTTCTACTTTTTTGTTTCTTTATTAGTTGCTGACGTAGCTTTCTTAGCGAGGCACTGTTTGTATTTGTTGCATTATACTTTACTGTATCAAACTGATTGTTTATAATGGTCTTTTTTAGCGACGAAGTTATGTCGTTTTCGTCTATCGTTTTGGATTCCTTAGTGGTGTTAATTTTTTCACCACTTAACTTATTTGGTGACTTTTCTGTAATAGGAGACAACTTTATTTTGTTTTGTTATATTACTTTGTAACTTTTAGGTTTATTTTTATGATTTTAGCGCCTAATTGATTTCGCCAGCGATACTCTCTCCTCCTCCTTTCCCTCTCTTTGTCTCTAACATTCTGTATCTATGCAAACATAAAAATATGTAAATGTCTTGAAATTATCGCTATTATCACGGTATTCCCTTTGTTTGTAAATGGTCTTTTTTAGCGACGAGGTTATGTCGTTTTCGTCTATCGTTTTGGATTCCTTAGTGGTGTTAATTTTTTCACCACTTAACTTATTTGGTGACTTTTTTGTAATGGGAGACAACTTTATTTTGTTTTGTTATATTACTTTGTAACTTTTAGGTTTATTTTTATGATTTTAGCGACTAATTGATTTCGCCGATACTCTCTCCTCCCCCTTCCCCTCTCTTTCTCTCTAACATTCTGTATCTATGCAAACATAAAAATATGTAAACGTTTTGAAATTATCGCTATTATCACGGTATTCCCTTTGTTTGTAAATCGCTACTAACTATTACCATTGCATTTATATTCTTCACTGAAGTATGTCGTGCAAATAAATATAGATAAATTTCTTATATACACATAAAATCTTTACCTTCATTACATATTCAAGATACTTTATACAGGGTCCCAAAACTCATAATCAATTTTTCAGACAGATTCCTGATTTGGTAACGATTTTTTCTCAGTGAAAATGTCAATGAAGGCCATCATTTTTTGCATGTTCTCGATTTTTGTCATCATATATCTTTGCAATTAAGCCTTAAATTAAAATTCAACTACAGTAAACTCTATTTAAAATTAATCAAGGAATGTGGTTTTGTTAATATTTTATTTCTACAAAGCTTAGTTTACGAAAAACCCCTTATTTCCAATCATTTATAATTCGAAAATTATTAGTGCCTCGACATTTTCATTGAGGAAAAATCGTCTTCAGATGATCCCAGGAATCTGTCTTTGAAAGATTGATTATGAGTTTTGGGACACCCTGTATATGTATAGTGTAGGATTTATAATTTTTCTCACTTTAGAAAAACGTATTTCGATTTTTCTTAAGTATCACACGTGATCTTCCTATTATATTTTGAAATCGAGAAAAATCAAGAAAATAAATCCTCAGGGAAAATCAATCAAATATATATAGTTATATATAAAATATGTATATATTTTTGATAAAAATTCACATTAATTTACATAGCATGGATCATTTTCATTTTGACGTATATTGTAGAGGATATATATTTCTAAGTAATACACGCCTGGGATTTTGTAGCGCTCTCTTTTGATTCAGATATGCGATTTTGAAACATTGTAAAAATAATATTTTTAGAAAAGGGAATAATAATTTTTTAATTTTTTTTGAAATATATATTGAAAATCATGACTTTCTTTATTATTATAAAAAAGCGTGTTTATTGAAATTGACGTATTTATCACGTACCAGTATTGCGTTTAGATAACTTAATAATCTAGATATAAAGTAGATAAAAGATATGCGGATGTATCGCAGATAAGATAAAGATAATTTCGATTTTGGTATATCTTGATGAAGATGAATTATTCAAGTGTCTTATCTAGATATTTTTAAGATAATATTTAAAATAAAGGAGAAGAATATTTTACGACATATATCATTTGTAAAATATAAAATTATGTTATATTAAACTTTAATAATTAAAGTATAAAATATTTTAAAATAAAAATAAAAATTTTGGCTCAAATAGTAATAATTAAAGAATTAAAAATTGTCATGAGTCAAGGCGCGGTAATTGGAATGCAAGAAAGAAAAAAAATACTTCCTTTTTTCTTATATTTATTAGTATATTTAAAAATATACTAATACTCGCTTTCGTTAGAATATATGCATTAAACGTTTCGAATCATTTTTCGGTCCATTTCAACGTGACATTAATATTCTTCCCCTTTAACTGTGCTATGTACTGATTACGCAAATGTTATTATATCCGGTCTGTAAATATGATTGAATATACGATATTGATAAAAATTGTATTCAGTACACACTAATTATATTTTATTTTAGATGTTTTATAAAAAATATTTACTTTTCTAAGATACGGATAACGATATCACATACTTTAATTAATAATATAAATACAAGAAAAAATAAATAATAATCGCATTTAGATGAAAATCTAGATAATTTAAACCAGATATCGGAAAACACTGCGTATTTATAAACGATATTGAAGTAAAGAATATGTTTATTTTTATATGTAGTAATAACTATGTAGAAGTTCGCAACAGCAACTGCAGTTCTACGCCTATTTAGAAATTCTTAACAAAACTAAACTGTAATCTAGAAATAATTCTAAAGCTGACAGTAACATGATAACAAGCATGTAAACAAAAAAGAATTCTTGGCGAAACTGAATAATAATCGAGAAACGTATTGATAATGATAAAATAACGAACAAATATAAACAAAAAAATAGAAATACAAGTAGGATATAAAAAATGATATAAGTACTCAAATGATGATATTTCAAAATTACATATTTTAGGAACTGAAAGAGCGCTACAAAATTCAAAGAGTGTATTTACTTGGGAATATGTACACCTTACAATATATATATATATACTCGTATATATATATATATATATATATATATATATATATATATACATATTCAATTTTTTTAATGGAACTGCCTACTTTTTATTGCATATTCTTGCAGCTCATCTCGAGGGCTTTCCAAAACACTATAATTAAGTTAGTTTTCATTAAGTACTTTCCGAGTTATGAGGCTTGAAATAATTTTTCAATTTTACATAAATCATAAAATATCTAGTAAAATATTCATTTTTCGATTATCTTACCTTAATATCCTTTTATGCACAAAATAATGAGAGGAATCATTTAATGTAAAGAAAAAACATAGTTGTTTCTAAGAAAAAATATGTAATTTGCAATTAACAAGTACATGTTTTTTCTTAAAAACAACTATGTGTTTTCTTTACACCAATTGATTGTTCTCGTTATTTTGTGCATAAAAGTATTAAGGTAAGATAATCGAAAAATGTATATTTTACTAGATATTTCATGGTTTATGGAAAATTGAGAAATTATTTCAAGCCTCATAACTCGGAAAGTACTTCATATATATACTTAACATATATCTTCTTTTACAAAACCATAAAAATTATTTATCTGAAAATATATCTTTTAATTTGCTTCGAATTGATGAATTTCGTTGATGAATTATCTACTAAAAAAAAACATTAAATATTATTTATTTGTGTATTATTTATGTATTTTGACGCGATAATTTCGTACAAGTTATTTTTAGAATTCATTAATGTAATACTTTCCGACTAGAGTGTGGATGGAAAACCGTCGTTTTCGTCATACGACGAATTCAATTCCGCAATAAAAATGTACATAATACATCATTCAATTTTTGTAATTGCTCTATAGCGCGCATTTTATCGTTGATCATAAATAGACTTAATTAAATTTGTCGATAAATTGTCAAAATTTGCAGAAAAAATGTAAATAAAAATTTATCTGCAATAATAATTTATATTTGACGCAGTTTTAGAATTGTAAAATAAAATAAAATTATTTAACAGCTCTTTTGCCGATTGATTTCTTGTCACATCAATCGCAATCGAATGTAATATGTTTGCTATATATTAACTCGCTAATATTATAACTCGATGCATTCCTTATATAATAAACAAGTACCATTTCGAGTTCACGAACAATGTTGCTTAAGAGTGATACAATTATTTATTATTATTTTTCACGAAATGTACATACAATCTATTGACTCAACAATCATCACATTATAAGAAAATGATTTAGCATAGTGGTTGAAGTAAAAAAATGATATCAATATTAATAATATTTAAATTAGTAAAAAAAAAAGATTGTGCCAACAGTACATGGTGTTCCCAAGCGGTCACCCATCTAAGTACTGACCATGCCCAACGTTGCTTAACTTCAGTGATCGGACGAGAACTGGTGTTTTACAACGTGGTATGACCGTTGACAATAATAAGTCTTTCGGATACTGAAGATACAATTTTAAAATTTTTAAAACGTATTTTATAAATCTTTAAACATATTGAATACAGTTATTTATAAATTTTTAAATGATATGAATGCAGTTATTTATTATCATTAGAATAAAAAAATTATAGCAATATTGATAATATTTAAATTAGTAAAAAAAAGATGGGGCCAACAGTACATGGTGTTCCCAAGCGGTCACCCATCTAAGTACTGACCATGCCCAACGTTGCTTAACTTCAGTGATCGGACGAGAACTGGTGTTTTACAACGTGGTATGACCGTTGACAATAATAAGTCTTTCGGATACTGAAGATACAATTTTAAAATTTTTAAAACGTATTTTATAAATCTTTAAACATATTGAATACAGTTATTTATAAATTTTTAAATGATATGAATGCAGTTATTTATTATCATTGGAATAAAAAAATTATATCAATATTGATAATATTTAAATTAGTAAAAAAAAGATGGTGCCAACAGTACATGGTGTTCCCAAGCGGTCACCCATCTAAGTACTGACCATGCCCAACGTTGCTTAACTTCAGTGATCGGACGAGAACTGGTGTTTTACAACGTGGTATGACCGTTGACAATAATAAATCTCGCGGTTGTTAGGGATAATTTTTGAATTTTTAGGACGTATTTTATAAATTTTTAAACATATTGAATGCAATTATTTATAAATTTTCAAACACTACGATTGCAGTTGTTTATTATTATCATTTTTTCCGAAATGTATATATAATATTAGGGAACAAAAAAAAATTTTTCTCATGTTGCCAAAGGTTTAAGATCGGTTTATATATATTTGAGGGTCCTGATTTCGTATTATATATTCATTTTGGCGGAATTGACTCTGATTTTTAAAATAATCGAAATCGCTCAAATTTGATCTGTTCTTAAATTGTAATTACCTCCCGAATGATTCAAACCTGCTTTACTTAACAAAACGACATGCATTCAATTCGTTATCAACCCTTCTCTAAAAAATAACAAGAATTTGTTTTATTAGTATTAGTTTAATTAGTGGCCTCATTTGAGCCTAGATATACGAACATTTTTCAACGCGAAAATGAGTATTTTGCGAAAACAGCGTGTAAATAATCCTGACGTTTTCTGTTATATTTGTGGCAAATACACTGTTGTGGATAAAAATTATATAGTTATGTTTTTATTCCAATGATAATAAATAACTGCAATTATATCATTTAAAAATTTATAAATAACTGTGTTCAATATGTTTAAAGATTTATAAAATACGTCCTAAAAATTCAAAAATTATATCCTTAACAACCGCGAGATTCATTATTGTCAACGGTCATACCACGTTGTAAAACACCAGTTCTCGTCTGATCACTGAAGTTAAGCAACGTTGGGCATGGTCAGTACTTAGATGGGTGACCGCTTGGGAACACCATGTACTGTTGGCACCATCTTTTTTTTGTTAATTAATTTAAATATTATCAATATTGATATAATTTTTTCTATCTTTTCTTTTTGTTAATTTAAATATCAAAGAGAAGACTGAGAGATGTCATGGCCCGCTTTTAGGTGTTCCC